ACAGAAGAGAATTCTACGTAGTGAGGGTTATAATCCCTAAGTGCGGCCGAAGGCCGCCTACGCAAAAAGAAGTTCTGCGCTAAAATACTATCATATTACTATTACTACAACATTTCTATCTGTCGCTTTTTTCTTAATTTCACAATATTTTTACTAAATTTTTTTTTTAGTTAAGTAAAGTGGCGACTGTCCCCTTTCGAATGAGGGGGGTTTGGGGGGCCACGCCCCCTCCCGCTCCGTCCCCCACCCGAAAAACGATGGGCCAATAACTAAACATTTCCCATAAAAACTATTATTTGAATACCTATTGAATCTACATTTGAATACCGTCCTTAAATTGATTTCTTTTCCTAAATTCATTTCTAGCATCTATATGAATATGCGCCAATTAGTCCTACTTAATATTTTTAAAAGTCATGCCAGAAATTTCACAATTTCATAATTCTAACTCTTACGCATATTTACAGATGTATGAAAAGTAAGATAATCAAGTTTCAGAATCGACTCCAAATCGGTTCTGAAAATTTAGAATCGATGCTCTAAGCTCGATTATTTCGATGAAATCTTCGTTTCTGGAGTGGAACCGGAATCGACTTTTCCATCCCTAGTTGGTCGCTGAAAATGTAAACGGTACTTCCGATCAGTGAAAATCAAATTTATTGCATAAAAAGTGAAACTACGAGCGCGCTGTGTAAAAGGTTTTTAAGTTAAAATATTGCATTTGCATTGTCACAAGTGGGAATTAGTTTTTCTAAATATTGTTTTAGTTAAGGTGTGCAAAAAAGTTGTAGTGTGAAAAGTGAAGTAGCGCGGTTAAACGAGTGTTCTGAGTGCCGCCGTATATGTAGCAGGGAAGGCAAATTACCAGAATAAATGTAAAGTATCCAGTTTGTAAAATGGATGAAGTTTACGTTCATACATGTAAGGCGCTTAGGAAAAAATATGTAAGTGATATTTCATTGCATTATTTATTTAAATCGTATTGGCTACAAGGCAAGATAATAGTCTTTTTCTGAAGCTAGCTAACCGAAAAGCTACCTATGTATCTACAACACATACATAAGTAATATTAATACTAGTAGGTACTAGGAGGAAGAAAGGAAATTTGTTTTGCTTTTTTAATCCACCGGCCGTAAAAGCTACTAGCCCAGTCTAAGGAATCAAATACCCCGCACAAGCGGTTTGTTAAACAAGACGACAGGTCCCTATAGTTCAAACCTGTTGCGAAATTTGAACAAAAATTTAATTTTTTTGATTTTCTAGCCGCAGTGTTGAAGTGCTGCTTGTGTGGTGTATTTCGCTCTTAAAGGTTAAAGGTTGGAAACTGACCTGAAAAATATACTCGTCTTTATTTCAAACAATGCATATATTTATTTATTTGCAAATGCTATGACTTATTGGAACATAAAAATGCTGACTATTTTTCTAGTGAAATGCTTTACTTGCAACTTTCAACACCTTCGTATTCTTAAAAATTTACCCTGTAATTAAAAACAAAACTGACTAAGAGCTTTGCAACAAAAGTTGCAGCTAGCGAAAAGCTATCAACTTCAAAATACTCGGCATTTTCAACAAACTATCTGTATCATAAATAAAAACCATTAACTTCAATTACCCGTGAAGAATCAAAGTAGTAAAATATAGCCCCGCTGAAACTTAATATGTACTAAATGAATAAAGAGATCAAAATCTCGAGGTAACGCAAGTTAATAACCTTTAAATATACACACAGTATGAATAAATATTTGAATAAAAACAGTTCTAGGTGTGGGTGTACTGCTGCTTTTGAAGAGTGAAACCATAGGAAGCATGTACTTCCTGTAAGATTTTCAAATTAAAAAAATGCATACATATTTACTACTTGATATGCGTACAACACATACATATGTATGAAGTGAACAGATAAACAATGTTTTTAGAAGTTAAAAAACGTAGTTTCTCGAATATCATGATCTAAATTTCAAGCTACATTACTATTTAAATTTTAGCAAATTGCTAGAAAACAGAAATATGTATGTATTATTTCTTGAAACAAAATTAAAACGCTGAAAATTACAAAACTACAAATATTTCTTTTATAAAAAAAATCAGTAAACTAAATATATACAATTATGTATTTAATAGACGCTCAGCTTAAATTGATGCTGTTTCATACTTAGATATGTATATGAAAAAAAGATAATGCAAATTAAAATTACTGACAGTGAGAGGAAAGCATATTAACACGCAAGTAACAACTTTATTAAGGTCGAGGTACTGTCGAAAAGGACATTGACTTGAAACAATTTAATTAAATACATACAATATAAATATTAATACATTCATTTATGAAATGCATGCATACGAACATACATACAAACATACTACGTATTATATATATGTGAAATCACAAAATTATATAAGAAAACACAGAAACGAAGAAAAGCACAAAAAGCTCATAAAAATGAAAGAGGGAAAAACGAATTAATAAAATTGAAAATTTACATTCTATCCCAAGAAAACAAGTTGGTTTTTCTTGAAATTATTGAGTCATATGCATCGGCATAGAAATTCCTCCAAGAGTTTTTGGAAATGCTGCTGAACTTACATTCCCCGGCCACATACATACATACGCACAAATCTGGATGGTTTCGGTTCGTAGACCCGACTGTTGGAAAAGAGTTTTTCTATGGCTTGGACATCTCGCTGAAGTTCTTACCTTTATTCAGAGATAGACCTGCCAAACATGGGTTTACCTTTTATTTATATTTGGCTACACGCTCTGCGTTTAAGTAAACTGGAAATGTTTAAGCGCCAATGGGTTTGATGTAAATTTGACTACCCTGCATGTTACATCCGCAACTCGTACTTCTTTTGGTATCTTGATTAAAAATTAATATTAAAGGTGTTAAAAACTTGATTTCATATAACATCAAGCTACCAAAAACCAACTCAAATTTTCATTAACAATCTAGAACGTCAGACCAAATTCATTTCATTGGCGTCATTACATTTTTTTTATTTCACTTTCTCATTTAAGAAAATGCACATTTCTACCCGCAAATTAAGCAAAAATTTCCCCCACAACAAGCTAATGCCAGTCATTGCTTCACCAGCAGCACAAATTGTTGCAAATGAGCCGCTGACCGAATTCCAAGACTTCTATGTGCTTTGGCTTATTGAAAATATATGTACGTATGCAGACTCCTTTTACTTCTTCTTGGGCTTAACAACGTTGTAGGCAATGATGAGACCAATCACAGCATATGTAGCCTTCGCCACCTGAATTATTAATTAAAGTTAGAAAGGTTTATATAATTTGTGGAATGCTCACATTAGCGCGACCACGCAATGTGTTGCCATTGAAGAGCGAAGACAGTCCACCACCCGATTTAGCACCCTCAGAATGTGAATCACCAGCCATTTTGCTGAAAAGCGATATAAGTTCTTTGAATAGCAATTACTAGATAATTAATAATTTTTTTATTGCACTTACCTCGAGTTTAGTTTAGCCTGTTTTGCGAATAGGATAAAATTTTCTTGCTACTTGCGTCAACTGTCAAATTTTCGTAAGTTATGTAAGTGCGAGTAGAGAATCTATCGGAATTAGTGATGTGCTGAATTGCCGGTACCTAATACTCGGTACCGAATACCTCAGAAAAATACTTCCATTTCGGTACCCAATACCGTTTCTATACATAATTGCAGCTTTTTGGCATTATTTTCAACAGAATATCTCTCAAAAAAGTTGTAGCGACTTTATTTGGACTATGAATATTATCCAAATTTAATACGAGTAAGAAGATGCTTCGGGTGGGCTTTAGTAGTCAGCCGCACCTTGTGTTTTAAGAAAACCAGGTGGAATTAACAAATGAAACTTGGTCAGGATGTTAAGGGAGGTATCCTCTAAAACATGTATAACTAAGAAATATATAAATAATATCATTGTTTATAAGTTATTTGTTGTTAAAATTTCTTAAGTCGTTCCACCTGGTTTCCTTAACAAAAAAGCATTTGTGCATACTTTTATATATATAAATGCACATAACACTGTACTTAATACTTTACACACTTTTCTTTTATTTTATCTTGTATATAAATCACTTTAATTAAACTTTTATCGACTTGTAAATTACATTGAATTTCACGCATATTTGCAATAACACATGGTTGCAAACTGACACATAACATGTGTTGCCATATTGTACAAAACAATACATACAAAGAAGGCAATGATTAAAAAGGAATACAGGGGAAATCAATACAAAAGAAAATGTTCAGCTCCTTCTCCGCAAAACAGAAAGGAGAATTCTATTGCCTGAGGGTTATAATCCCTAAGTGCGGCCGAAGGCCGCCTACGCAGAAAGGTGTTCTCTGCAAAAGGTGTTCAGCTCCTTTTCTTCGCAAAACAGAAAGGAGAATTCTACTGCCTGAGGGTTATAATCCCTAAGTGCCGCCGAAGGCCGCCTACGCAGAAAGGTGTTCTCTGCAAAAGGTGTTCAGCTCCTTTTCTTCGCAAAACAGAAAGGAGAATTCTACTGCCTGGGGGTTATAATCCCTAAGTGCGGCCGAAGGCCGCCTACGCAGAAAGGTGTTCTCTGCAAAAGTGCTCAGCTCCTTTTCTTCGCAAAACAGAAAGGAGAATTCTACTGCCTGAGGGTTATAATCCCTAAGTGCGGCCGAAGGCCGCCTACGCAGAAAGGTGTTCTCTGCAAAAGTGTTCAGCTCCTTTTCTTCGCAAAACAGAAAGGAGAATTCTACTGCCTGAGGGTTATAATCCCTAAGTGCGGCCGAAGGCCGCCTACGCAGAAAGGTGTTCTCTGCAAAAGGTGTTCAGCTCCTTTTCTTCGCAAAACAGAAAGGAGAATTCTACTGCCTGAGGGTTATAATCCCTAAGTGCGGCCGAAGGCCGCCTACGCAGAAAGGTGTTCAGCTCCTTTTCTTCGCAAAACAGAAAGGAGAATTCTACTGCCTGAGGGTTATAATCCCTAAGTGCGGCCGAAGGCCGCCTACGCCGAAAAGTGTTCTCTGCAAAATGTGTTCAGCCCCCCCTTCTTCGGCAACACAGAAATAATAATTCTACTAAGTAAAAATTCCGAATTAAAAATCCGCTTTTATTATTCAAAATTCCAGTCTGGTAGCACTAAGTTGTATGTTATTTTGCTATCTTATTCATCGTTTATATGAAAACTTTAACAATAAATTATATAAGAACTATAGGGTTGCTAGAAAAAAGGGGGGTAGTTTTGAAATCAGGGGGTCCTATTCTACCCCCCCTCAAACCCCCTTTTTCTAGAATTTGCCGTCCGTCTACTAAAATTTTCCCGATGCTTCCCAAAAGTTGAACAATTTGTACTAAGCAATGTGGAAACCACATATCAAAACACTCTCATCGCTTTCTTGATATTGTCGCAACAGTAAAATACCCTTTTACCAGTTTCCACCTTCGTAGATCTAAAATCTAAGAAAAATGCTTTGACGGATGAAAGAAGTCTCTCAGGTTTACAAAGATAACATCGTCCGATTCATCTAGAGAAAATGTTTCAAATACGGAAGAGTTTCTCTGCATTGTAGCGATGGAAAATAGAAATTAAAATCACTATTAGTCCCTAAACTTGCTTTTGATAGGCTAGGCTCCCCTAAACCGCTTTTATTTTTGGTCTACATGCGTTCTTATTGGAAGCCTAAACGTTTCGGTACCGAATATCGAAAGTATTGCATACTTTTTAAATCGGTACCGAGTATCGATCAAAACTTCAAATTATCGACTCAGCACATCACTAATCAGAATGTACAACGTTCAATAAATAAATTAGGATGGCAGTTCAAGATGGAATGTCAAACTTGCTGCAATTTTTCTGGAATGATAACCGAATTCGGAGTAAGAATGTCAAAAATGGCGGAAACTGCGTTGCCGACAGCTTATCAACTGGCAGATAAGGCAGTGTAGGTTTCGAGATTGGGTTACTACGGTACTATTTTATACCTGTATCCGGTCGAATGGTATATTAATCCGTTACATTAATTACGTGTACACTTAGGGCCGGTTGTTCAATGTCTGATTTGCACTAATCGGAGGTAGGAGCTCCGGTTAATTACTAGGATTGCTTTAACGATCACATGTTACATGCATGATGTCGAAATCATCGATAGTGTAGTGGTAGTGATAACCAGACATTGAACGACCGGCCCTTATTCAAAACAAACATTCCATCAATAAATTTATAATTAAAAAAAAATTTATAAATTTTCAGACGGCGTATAAATTTCTGACCTTTGGTTTAACTTTCAACTGTTTTGACATTTAGCCAGTTCCTGTTTTTATGTTTAATGAGATTCATCTCTGAAAACTTTCTTTCTGCAGCAGCACTACTGTGCGGTAAAATAGCTAACGTCAACATATACTCTGCCAAGTGGCACGAAGTTACACCTTTCCAAAACATTTTTTTGGTCCTTAATCAATCCCCCGCTGTGGGAAATAAAAAGTGATTCCGCATGTTAAGGAGTTAAAGAAAAAACTTCTGTTACACCTTCTATACAAATGCTATCGGAGCATAGTCCGGACGCTGATGTATATGTTTTGTATATGTATGTATATCGTCACCTGAAATGCAAAAAGACGTAACAAAAAAAAATCCAACTATTTAATTGAAACCAGCTTAAAATAAATAAATATCACTGTTTTTATTTTTAAGCGTAGAGTGGGAGTGTCATTGATAAAATTAAGAGTGAGAGAAATACCACATAGCAATACAATTAAAATTCCCATATATTATCTTCTTCAATCAAATTTTAAGATGGGGCGTTTTCCAACTGGCTGCCGAGATAGGTCGATCTTTCACTCAGACGTCGAAATACTGTTCGCTTATTTTATTGATTTTATGCCCTTAATGTGTACTATATTATGCGGGAACGGAAAGAAATGCGATATGCGCATTGACATTAGAATTAGGGTGGTCATGAAGGTTTTATTTACGGTAGGCTGTATGAGGCAGTATAAGGGCCGGTTTTTCAATGTGTGGTTATCACTACTTGCCGGTTAAACATCATTATCGACGTTTTCGTCACCATGCTTATAACATGTCATCGATAAAGCAGTCGTTGTATTTAACCGGAGCTTCTACCTCCGATTTGTGCAAATCAGGCATTGAACAACCGGCCCTAAAAGTAAAAAAAAAACGAGTGTTGTAAAAAACCTAAATACTAAAACAATTGCATTTACCTCAAAGTTAAGTTTCGAAATATTCTGGCGTTTGAACATTTTGGTCTCTCACGTTGTTCCAAACTAATTTTATAGCCGTTGGTCTTCCTCTACTACTCTAATGAGGAGCATCTTGGACAAGAAGCCCAATATCAGTATGTCGTCCTGGCAGTGGAGATACATAAATATGTAAATATGTATATAGAAACTTCCTTTTCCAAAAACTAAAACACATATTTTTCAATTTATTGGCATGTATGTATTTATGTATAGATCTTTTATTCCACATTTCGTTTAATCATTTTCTAAGTGTACTATATGCAATACATAATTTACTTATTCCAAAGATTCATTGTTTATTTGATTTCGTGCGTTTGGTTTTTCGTTAGACTCTTTTTAATAATATATGTTCTTTTACTTTGATTTTGTATTAATTTATAATTAGTGTTTAAAGCTACAATATTATAGATTATATTGGGTAGAATATATGCATGGGTAAGTTTTTATACTTATTTATACATATTTTATATAAATATTTACAAAGCTTTTGTCGTAATGAGATGGGTTAGAAATAAAACAAAAAAAAGAATTTAATTTATTCTAACTTATTTCCGTTAATTTCTAGTTAATTTATATGATCTATTTTATTTTCATTTTCGTTATCATTATCACTTTAATTTAATTTAATTTTGATTTGTTAACGTAATTTAAATTATTTATTTTTCTTAGTTTTTAATTTAATTTATTTCGTTCTCTTATTTTATTTTGTTCTCTTATTTTATTTTATTTTAATTTAATTTAATTTATTGCATTTTGTTTTATTTTATATTATTTTTTGTTTTATTTTTATTTTAATTTGATTTATTTTATTTTGGTTCATTATATTTTATTTTGTATTTTTTTCACTCTATTTTTAAATTTTTTACTTAATTTTTATTTTTTAATTTAATTTATTTCATTTTATTTTGTTCTTTTTCACTTTTTTATTTTGCTTTATTTTATTTAAAATTACTTTTTTAAATTTGATTTTACTCGATGCAATTTTATTTCAATTTATTTCTTTTGCTTATCCATCGTCTTACAATTCATTAAAACAAATAATAATTAAAGAACACTTTTGGACTTAAGAAGTTTCTGATAAAATATCAAATTTTGCTTAAAGTTTTTAATATAACGTTCTAATCAATAATCGTAAAATTTTACAAACACTGGTTACGAAAAAAAAAAAAAAAAATTACTAACTTAAATCACAATGAAAATTGCTTATGACTACAAATCTATCGATATTTAATGCTTTACAATCTTTTAATAATAAGTAACGGCGAAACAAGTTTTTAGGGGAAGAAAACATGCATTAATGCGTTATTTTTTATTAAGCTTTATGTTTTTTTGCTTTCAATCAAAC